CTACGTTTCTGGACCTGGGAACATTTCAGTTGTGTTGCGGTCTATGAAGGGTAAGAGAGCTCTCGGATTGCATCAAAAATATCTTAATTTGTGTTCTGAAGATGAACGAAGGTCTTACGGGTTTGAAACGACACGAGGGTGTGCAATTAATGACAGAATTTTCATTTTTGGGTGAACTAACCCTTTAAATACAATTTATTTTTGGTTTCCAGCTGCATCAAAACTTTAGTTTCGGTGTTTCATTAAAAACATAATTTTGGTACATCACTAAAAATAGTCCAAAATCTCAAAACTGACCAGTGCATGAAAAAACAATGATTTTGCAAACTATTGCAAAGTGACTAAAAGCCATAAATAAAGGCTGAAGCTGAAAACGAGTAGCCGCTGTGCTGCGCTCACCTTGCACATGATAGAGCCACTAGAGCAGCTGCTGCGTTCTGCCTCTGCTGTTGGGTGAGCAGTGGTCTCGCCTGTGCCGTTCCCTCCGGCTCACTCCTCTCCTCCAACCAGGAGCAAAGCAACCTCTCCAGGCCATTAAGGCAGTCTGCAGGCTCCTTGCCCAGGCTGAGCGGCTGGCAGTCGCAGAGACACGCGAGCAGGACCTCAGCGGTGACGCCGCAGAGCGCAGGGTCGTGCCGAGTTTGCGACTGCAGTAGTGGAAAGACCAACAGGAGGCCGACCCGTGAGGTAAACGGCGCCTGATCGGTGCCGGCGGCCATCGGAGGGTGGTGAGGATGGTGGTGATGTTGAGGCTGCAGGAAGCCCTGTCGCTTAAGCAGGGCCAGCGTCTCCTCGTCGGCCCCTCCGGCGCTCCCTGGGAGGACCCCGTCATGCTCCTGCTGCTCCTCCAGGGCCAGCTGTCGCTGCGCCCCCCACAGTCCGCGCAGAGCATTGAGACGGTACTCCAAAAGTCTGGTGTAAGCGTTGCTCTGGTTTCCGCAGACGGCTCGCAGGCGCTCGGCAAGCTCCGCTGGGTTCTTGGTCTCGAATGTCAAGATCTGCAAGAGCACAGAAAAGACCCTCATCAGGCTAATCTAAAATTAGCTACTTGCTTCAAAGAGGTCAAATTCAGGGATTGTATCTAACAATTTAAGTGAAAATTAAAAATAAAATAAAAAAGAATGATTAAGTATGTACAACCCTTTAAAAGCTATAATGGGAACACATCCCCAAAATTATTAGTTGCATAATTATTTTTATTTATTAATTAATTATTATTTTAAACATACTAGTAATAAAACATACTAACAGTATAAAATGTGTGTGTACACACACACACCTGATGGTTTTACATCTAATTCTTCACATTAATTCTTAAATCTTTTGCAGTTAACGTGTCTTTTCTTCTCCACCTGTTTTTTCTGACCTCACTGACCCAATGAGCATTTTGCTGTCCGTTGGTCATGTCTTAACTTTTCAATTTCTGTATTGCATTAGCTTTGAATATTTCTCATGGGGATTTAACAATTTTTGACTTTTCAGTCTGAGTTAAACCTCTTTTTTTGGCTCATTTTATCTGTAAAAGAAAACATGCCTAATAATTCTGCACACCTGAATATAAGGAGTTTTTCACTTCCAGCCGTCATGGACAATTATATATCACTTATAAATGATTAAATGCAAAATTAATAGTAGTTATTAAGATTGATGTGGTTTGGAATTGGTAAAATGTGCTTGGAAAAAAATATCATCAGAATATCAACATGCCTAATAATTATGCATGCGGTGTATAATAACCTTTTTCTGGATTTGGATAACACAAACTTTTTTTAAATATCTTGCAATATTCTTAAAATTCTGGTCGAAAACAACATATCTCCCAATATACACATTACCATGGAACAGGTCAAACTAATTTTTTTTTGTTTATATACATATTTGAAGAGTCATACAATCAACAAATGATTTAAAGTATTAAAAATACTGTTTTATCTATTATACCTGCTCAACACCGTTTCTTTAATTCAAGCAGTGAGCAGTATTTCCTTTCTAACTGAGCATTTCTTTCTGAATCCTCTCCATTAAACATCTGACACATTACCATCAGTGATGTACAGCAGAAAATAACACGTCTTTCCCTTGCGAGCCGCACACAAAAAGCAACCAGTTTTGTCCAATTCACAACAAATGACTCACGCATTGAACACGTCTGGTCGACGACACAAAGCATCCTAAAATTTCATAAAGTTTTCAATTCAATTGCATTATATTTGTCCCAAACTACTGTTTATTTACCAACTTCTCCCCGTGCTGAAAGATCAAGCAAAAGTAGTGTTTTGACATCTATGCTGAAAATACGGAAATTGCATAATATACTGTATAATCGCCCTTTCTAATGCATTTTTCATACATCAAACTTTAGACTCATTGATGTCACTTTGTTCACTCTTAAAGTGAACTTTTGAACTTCAGAAAGAAGATTAGATTCACTGTTGCTACCTGTGTGTTTTTCCACCTGTAGAATCAAAAGACTACAAAAATAAAGGCGTGCTGCAACAGACTGGAAGTGCACAGAGACATTTGTATGGCAACAAACGAGAGGAAAAACAATGAGGCGGATCTAAAGGAGGAGAAGGGGGTTCTGGAGATGGCCTGTATTGCTACAGTATACAGTGCCACAAAAAAAACACTAAACAAAACAAATTAAAAAAGCCAACTACCTGTGCTATTCCTTCTTATTTACAAACGTGAAAAGCTGATATACACGTGGCAGAGTTGTGATGTTGGAAGAGGCATATTAATGTGAAACATGGCAGAAACACAATATGGATAATATCATATAATCTACGTATAATATAAAGATCAGTGAGTGGAAAGCAAGTGTGTAGCCAAATGGTGTTTATCATTGAGCTTTCGCAGTTTTCTTCACATAATTTTCAAATCAGATGTAGTTATTGTGGTTTATTGATCACAATATATAATCAGTTTTGTTTAGATTGCATCAATGTTATGTTTCTGAATGCATGACACGTCGTAATAACAAACGCGTGCACTTGAAGGCAGCATTAAATTCTTAGTTATGACTACCGAACAGACATTTGGAAGTTTAATTTAAGTGAAAAGTTCTGAACCTCAAAATGTGTAAATATAGGGCTGTTTAAAAACTTTACTTGCATTTTTACAACACTGTAAGTGTGTCCCATCAGGTAACAGAGGAAATGCATCATGCAAGTAGACGAGTGGTCCAAGTGCAGTGACCACAAGTGTGGTATTGGGACGGGCCCTGACAGTAGATGCATCTCAGTTTGCGTACTATTCTATGCTATTTTGTAGTATGCATAGTGTGAGTAAGTGTGTACACACTGAAAATTCCAAAAAAAGAATAAACAGAGCAATTCCAAGAGGTGCATGGGCCCTAAAAAGTGTACCGGATGGTGCACTTAATTAACCAAAAAAACAAAACAAAGTGTGCACCAGACGGCAGAGCAGCGATTTTCAAACTGGAGCCAGGGTTCAAACAATGCAAACAATTTACAAATAAATTAAATAATAAAAAGACTAAAATAAATAAATATTTGATTAAACTAAATAAGAACATAAATGGGTAATTTAGTAAATAAATATCAAAAAAGTACAGTACTACAATCAGTAATAATGTAAAAAATAATATTGAATGAAATTTTCACTATATAAATTAGGTATTAATGCAAGAAACTATATAGAGACCTTTTAAATATTAGGATGAGGGACCCTAAGACTATCATATTTGGGGGTCCGTGGCATCTAAAAGATTGAAAACCCCTCTTTGTAGAGTACATAGTGCATCATTTGGGACACAGCTTTTGTTGTGACTCATATTGCACTAATATTTTCTCCAATGTGATACATAAAAATGATACACAAAATACGATTCGGTCACACAGATGTTTCCTTTAATAAGAGAATCTTTGTCCACACAAATCCACCAGAAATAGCAAGCCATTCTGGTTTCCTTGGTATACTCGTTGCAGCATACTATTTGGGGCACACTAATTCTAATCTTGCATACTATTTAGGGTGGAGGGTATGCGAACTGGGACACATAAGATAGTACATCGCCAAGCAACGCCCTTTAGCCGTTACTAAATGACTACAGTTTAACACGACTACTCATGTTTTATTACTTAAATAAATTACTTACGGAGGAAAATGACATTGTGTGCTTAGGACAACATTTGTGTTAGAGCGTTTAGGTTTCTGTAATAGTGTGGAAAGCCCTAACTTATCGTACTGAGTAGGGATGGGCGTATCGATCCGAAGTATCGATATATCGATACTGACGCGAGTATCGAAAGTATCGATACTCTTCTATTCTGTAATGTTAATAGAAATCATACACTGTCCGAATAAAATGGTTGCATTTTATGCATGCAACAGCCTTTCACTGGCAGTCCCTCATGGCAGTACAAAATATTGCACTAAATCAAAAGTTCAAATGTTACAAATAAGTTAGAATATTAATGTTGTAATACTGGTAGCACTAATATAAAAATGTGATGATATATGTTACAAAAAAGTAACAATTTTGAAATACGTTTTGTATTTGATCTCAGTATTCCTATCAATGTTGTATAAGGGTTTTTTATGCATAATAGTAACCCTAGAATGTGATCAAACAGTTTAAAATAGCTGGGCTAAGATATATAACAATTTTTATGACTGCAGAAATATGTTAATTCAGTATACACATTATCCCACCGGTTACAATTGTGACTGACCATAAAATAAAATTTTTCACACACTTTTCCAAAAAAAATAATAATTGATTATTTCAAAGGGTTGAAATAATGACGCATCATTTGGATAATTTCATGTCTGGGAAAAATGTGGGATTAAACATGCGTTTTAAACATAAAGTTAAGTGGTTTTCATTACCCATTTTACTCTTAGTAATTTAATAATTAATAAGTAGCATGAATCCTGCGCACAGGTCAATAGCTGGCTGCCACACGCCAGTGAGAGATTCATCTCCTCCTAATGCTAGCCTGCCTGTGCTATGCTAACGCGTCAAAACTGTGTGCCTCTCTCATTATATACGACATGTACATTTACAATAACAACATTAAAGATGAGTTTATAAGCTTCGCTAACGTCAACGCAACCCGATCGGCCGTTAAATGCAGTATTTGTGGCAATATTTAATCCTGCTCATAACGGGCTTAGAGCATGTTTACGTCAACCGGAAATACTCGATATGTGATTTAACACGACTAAATACTTAATTTACTTGAATAAACACAACAAGAGGCTTTTATTATTAGCGTGTTGCTATCTGACAAGCCTGTTTTGGCCGAACGTTATCCAATCCCAGGCGAGCCGAGCTAGCGTTAGTTAACTTTGGTGTTAAGCTAATTAAGTTTTATCGCAATCTAAATGAAACTGATGTAATAAATGCATACCTCCTGCTCGGACTCCCCTTGTTCGGACACACCGATCTCGCTGGGCAGCTCCGCAAGGTCCGTGACCCGAATTAGTCCGTCGTGGAGGAAAATAGTCTCTTCCTTCACTGACAGCCACTGGGAGGAATCCACGGCACCCGATCCCATCGCTTTCTCCTCCGAGGAAAAAGGGCAAAGTGGTCAAACATTAAATTCAACGCGCGACGGGATCAGATTCAGCGCGCGCCGGCGACAGATGTCCGCATCATCACTGAGCGCTCGCGCAGATGATGTACGACGCCCATGCGATGCGATGCGATGCGAGGCCTCGCTGGCTTTCGCTGCGCATCGATTCGACAGCCTCTCAGCTCAGCAGGGTCCAGTGTACCCTAAGTACTGTATGCTTCAGTTTTTAGTCATACACTAGTGTATGCATACAGTGAGCATGATGCCCAAAGTACTGCATACTTCATTTGTATGTGCATACTAAGGTATGCTTACCAATACAGCACACATTTTTATATGCAATGCTAGCATGCGTACAGTGTGCATGAAGACCAAAGTACAGTATACTTTGGTTTGTGTACAATGCACATAAAGAACAAAGTATACTCAGGTTTTATGGCTATGCTAGGGCAAGTTTAGACTTACAGTGCACTTGAAGCCCAAGGTTTAATTCAGTTTGTATGCATAGGCTAGGGCATACATACAGTGCGTGTTATGCCCAAAGTACTTAGGTTTTACATGCACGCTAGGCTATGCATACTTTGCTTGTAAAGTACTGGATACTTCAGTTTTTATGTGCATACTAGGGTATGCTGCTTTTTTATATGCAATGCTAGGGCATGCATACAGTGTGCATGAAGCCCAAATTACTGTATACTTTGGTTTTGTGCTTACATTAGGGTATGTGTACAGTGCACTTGAAGCCCAAAGTTTAATTCAGTTAGTACGCGTAAGCTAGGGCATACATACAGTGAGCATGATGCCCAAAGTACTGCATACTTCATTTTTATGTGCATACTAGGGTATGCTTACCATACAGTACACAATTTTTTAATATGCAATGCTAGCATGTGTACAGTGTGCATGAAATCCAGATTACTGTGTACTTTGGTTTTGCGCGTACACTAGGATATGTGTACAGTGCACATAAAGCCCAAAGTATACTTAGGTTTTATGGCTATGCTAGGGCAATTTTAGGCTTACAGTGCACTTGAATGCCAGAGTATACTTTGTTTTACAAGTACGCTAGGGTATGCATACAGTGCTCGTAAAGCCCAAAGTACTGCATACTAGCCATACAGCTCACACTTTTTATATGCAATGCTAGGACATGTGTACAGTGTGCATAAAGTCCAAATTACTGTATACTTTGGTTTTGCGCGTACGCTCCACGCCATGTTGTGTACAGTGCACATAAAGCCCAAGTATACTTAGGTTTTATGGCTATGTTAGGGCAAGTTTAGGCTTACAGTGCAAGGTTTAATTCAGTTTGTATGTATAAGCTAGGGCATACATACAGTGCATGTGACGCCCAAAGTACAGTATACTAAGGTAGTAAAAGTACGCTAGGGTATGCATACAGTGCTCGTAAAGCCCAAAGTACTGCATACTTATGTTTATACTAGGGTATGCTTATCATACAGCACGTATGTTTTTATTTGCAATAGGGCATGTGTGCATGAAGCCCAAATTACTGTATACTTTGTTTTTGTGCGTACACTAGGGTATGTGTACAGTGCACATAAAGCCCAAAGTATACTTGTGTTTTATGGCTGAGGCACGTGTAGGCCTACAGTGCACTTGAAGCCCAGAGTATACTTCGTTTTTTTATGCATACTCTATGCCATGTCATGTGTACAGTGCACATGAAGCTCAAACCATACCTCGGTTTTTAAGCATACACTAGACTAGGGTAGGTGTACAGTGCACTTGAAGCCCAAAGTTAAATTCAGTTTGTAAGCGTAAGCTAGGGCATACATACAGTGCGTGTGACGCCCAAAGTACTGTATACTTAGGTTTTACATGTGCGCTAGGGTATGCATACAGTGCTAGTAAAGCTGCATAAGCTGCATATGTGTACAGAGCATGTGAAGCCTAAAGTATACTTTGGTTTTTATGTGTATACTGAAGTATGCATACAGTGCACATGAAGTCTAAAGCACACTGCTTTTTTAAACATATGCTAGGGCATACATACACTGGCAAAATTATACTTCAGTATTTTTGCATACGCTAGTGTGCATGAAGCCTAAAGTACTGCATACTTCGGCTTTATGTGTACGCTGGGTTATGCGTACAGTGCACTTGAAACTTGTAATGCATACACTACTAGGCATGTGTAGAGTGCACTTGAACCCTAAAGTATACTGTACTTCTTTTGTTGCAAGTACAATATAGGTCATGCGAACTTGATGCCTAATGTATAAATAATACTTCAATTTTTACACATACAGTACGTGTGAAGACCAAAGTATACTCGGTTTTATGCGTATGCGAGGGTATGTGTATAGTGCACATGCAGCCCAAAGTAGTCCTGTATATCTTGGTTTTTATGTGTCCGCTAGGGCATGATTACAGTGTGCATGAAGCCAATTTTTGGGCATGTCATCATCTAGTGAGATGCAGTGGGATATGAACTGGGATGTAGGCAATTGCAAGGGGCCAAGGGGTGCTGGTTAGCATGGCCTCACTAGCCCCTGCTGGTAGATGCTGTAACTGCAACATGTGACTGCAAGCAAAGTGCATCTTTCCGGGTTGACTCCGATTTCAAAACTCTGAAGAGGTTGAACTAGTGCTTATTCTGCCTCTCAAGAAATGCAAAAAAAGGAGGTCTTATTTTGACCCTTTTATAATATTCAACATATTTTTACTCAAATGTTTTACTTAAAAATGACACAGTTCTCTGAAATCTCCAGTTTCATGGCAACACAGCTTAAAAACCATGGCTGATAGGAGAAACATATAAAATATTAATCTCATACTTTCAGAAAAAAATGGTACAAAAGCTGTCGCTGGGGCAGTACCTTTTCAAAAGGTACACTTTTGTATCTTTTAGGTACTAATATGTACTTTTAAGGTACCAATATGGATCCAATATGGAAAAGGAATATGCACATGTTCTTTTTTTCTGCACCATACAGTTGAAAAAAAAAATCATGAGGTAATATGAAATATTATATTTTATCACTCAAGTAGAGCAGAGATTTGAGTACCAACAGCTGGAGTTGCATCAGGCGTGTGAACAACAGGTTGAATACAAAGAAAGTAAAAGACTGTAAAAGACTGAGCTGTAAATATATTGTTAGTCTTATTCAGAAGTCAATCCAAATTTCCATTAAGTTATTGTTGAGACTTAAAATTAAAAGTATTTTGATTAAACACATTAAACACACAGTCGTTTAATACCACACAATACTTGAAGGGATTGTCCAACCAAAATTGACGTTTTTGTTTTTTTCAAAATAGTGGCTTTGTGGAAGTGTGAGCATTATGTGTGACCGTTTGATTTGGGGGCATTAAAAATTGAGAGGAAAAATACATATTTTATTTTACTTAATTTGCAATTAGGTTGCAGGTCTTTTTGGGGAGGATCATTATCATTGAGAACATTTTGACTGGACAAAAAAAAAAAATATCCTACCTGAAGGAAAACACACACAGACTAAAAGCAACAAAACTATTCAAGAGCATTTAATGAGTTATGAAACCATTAGAAACCAAAACGGACATTTTTCCAGTTCAGTCAGTCATTTTAATATTTGTAAATACTATTGGTCTGCAGTTTGTTACTATTAAAAATGTTTGATTTTAAAGAGATTTCTGTTGACATTCTGTAAGTTAAAAAAAAAAAAAATGTTGATTTTGATGTTGGGCCGCTATTTGATGCAAAATCTGGGTCCTGAAGCAAACCACTGGAGAGCCACCAGACTAACTGAAAGTCTCAGCAAGAAGAACCACGGTTGACAAGACAGATTTTTCTTGGACTTTTTGACATGCATGGAATGGGTTTGCTAAATCAAATGAGGTTTAATTGGTTTAAAAGCTGAAAAAGATGATGTTGATGATTTTGAGGCTGTAATACATTTTGTGAGCTCATTCTACAGCAGTAAAGGAATGAAGCTGATCACTGAATGTAATACTGCGGTGTTATCATCTGCTGTCTTTCAGAAAATCCATCTGGCGAGAAGTTCAAATGCAGAAAGTGTTTATCCTGCTGTGTGAGTAATACCAAGCATACCGCACGCAGTAAATTGCAGCAGCACTTATTTCCTGACACTTCAGGCGAGGATTATGCTCATAGTAGTCGAGTTTATGCCAAGTGTCTGTCAGACAGCATATCAAAAGTATCACATATTTTAGCAGAAGGAATTGCTACAAGGCTGTTTAATGTTAGCTCAACTGGTTTTTGGAGAAGTGACAGCAATATGAGCATCTTAGATGTTTCAGAAATGTCTGTCCCTGTGTAATAATGTTAATACAAATTTGATTTATTCATGCTTCATATCAACTTTTATAACAGAGGTCTGTAATAATTTCAATAAAAACGATCACTTTTGGTCCTAACACAACATCAGTTGAATTCTACAGTATATTAATATTCTCTAGGTTTCTACAGTTAGGCCTAGGAACTATATTACTTGGCTGATTGTGATTATTATTATCATTATTATTTAATTTTCTTTTTGCATTTTGTGGGTGAGAATATACAGTATATTATTAACATTCAAGCCAAGTTAACGTGGCTCCAGCAGCTGCATGTACTTCATAGATTTATTGCAGAAATGGTAATTAATTAATACTTGGCAAGCTGCATAATAAAAATGTGACATCCTTTCCCTGACTTGGCGTTTATGATAAATGCCCTTTTCTTAAGAACACATTTCAACCTTTCAGATAAGATCACGTTCATTATGTACTTGACTCTTTTATTACATTAATTTTTTTTTTTACCCAAGTCATAAAAACAGGACTAATTAAATCATTTTTTACTCTAGATTTACAACATGTATTTTGATGTCATCTGCTGGTGGAATCCACAAACTGCTAATTCTGTTCAGACATGTGGAAAGAACAGACATGGTTCTCAGACATGATGCACAATGAACTTTTTTCCTCACGAAAATAGCAAAATGAGGTTTTGTGTCCGTTCACTACAAGGACCTTCCATATCTGTTCATAAACACACGCACAGTTTAAACACAACATGAGTATATTTTGAATGTATTGCCACATTTGTTTTTATTTATTTAACATTTTCCTCATTATTACCACTCCAAACAATGCATACTTGCATAGTGAATTTTAAAATGCAAAAATAAAAAATGCTGGAGAGTATTTGTTGCAGTGAATGGGTGCCGTCAGAATGAGA